ATTCTCTCTGAAACCACATGCTATATGGTTATTTTTTGTTTAGCTAAGCTAAGCAATTTTCAACCTTATTGCTAATTTCGCATTGTAGAGTCTGCTTCTATGTATCATGATTTTTTTAGATAATTTGAGTTCATTAATTGTTAAAAATGTTGCTCCTGGGATAGGTAAGTGGTTGTCGTCACAACCACAATGCACACAGGCGTTGTCATGGAGCATTCGTTCAAGCATTTGGTAGAGATGTGATTTTTTGAGTTTCTGGTGATTTTCGATAACTGCGGTTTGTTATTGATTATTGTTTATTGTAATGTTTTTTTGTATTACAATATATTTAATCATAAAATACTCCCTTTTTACTTCAAAGAGGTTAACTTATGTTTGCTAGGTGTAGTCAGGAACAAGTTCATAATCATAAATATTTTTTTGTTCTGTGAAAATATGATTTTTAAGAAATTTTTTGAACTATTAAATTTATTGTCTAACAGTGTAAGAGTATCGCTAAACATTTAGTTTTTCGAATATTTGTCTAAGTATTTTTATAATTTATCTCGTTACCTTTACTCAGTGTTCATGTAATACTTGTGTAGTACATTTTAACACCCCTATTTGTTACTAGAGATGTCCTTTCTTGTAAAATGGCCAAAATTTGGAGTTTCCACGGTTTGGAATCTCTTACCTAATAGAAAATAAACTATTTCTTAGGGACTATTGACGAAAATGATGTGGCGTTTGATTCTGGGAAGAAGGGGATTCCGATGCAATAATATCAATAACACAACTAATGAAATCTAGCACCCCAGATTTCCTTCACCAATATTGGTTTCCATAACCAATGATTGTATTATTTTAGTTTCTTGTGTGTAACTGCATATCGTATTTATTTGCACTATTTTTTAAAATTTTCTTGTATTAAGATTTCATGTTTACTCCTATTTGATTTTCTTCTACTTTGGACACGTTTATTTGCGACTAGATTTAAGTTTTCCATTCAGGAATTATGAGGTGGTTCTGTACGCAATCACAATCCTTATAGTGTAAAGCGCAGTGCTAAATGGATTGCAGGCATTATCATGACCACACCATTTTTTTATTTATCTCACCATATATTTATTCAAATCATAAATTAATAATTTTCATATATTTCTAAGATTAAAATTAAACAAATAAAATAGAAATTTAAAAGAAATCCAGAGAAAAAGTTATGTGACATATAAAGGGTTAAATCGGGCAGTCAGTGACCGCACCGTTGTGTTTGCATGACTCATACAGCACCGCACATTTTAATGGACTGTACAAACATTCAGTGATATTTAATGACTGAAAATGTATAGTTTTCTTATTTGTTGTAAACAGGTAACAGGAGGAGTCTGTCAGATGCTGTGAAAAAAACTGGTGAAACCTACAACGAAATAGGAAAATTATTTGAAGAACAACCTAAGTTAGACTGGGAGCCATTAGGGGATACACTTCACATATATAAAGGCATCCTCGCATCATTTCCTGATATCTTGGCAATCCATAAGGTATTTTGTCCATCAAATATAACTTGTTAGGTATATTGTGACTTGTAACTAGACGGTCTTCTTGACTGACATTGAAACAATTGGTGTACTCTTATTATTAATCTTCATATTAATCTTTGTTTCTTGTTTATGATTGTGAATTTAGCCCAGATATCTTTTATTTGTGAGAACATCTATTGTTGGTGTAAAATGTTTTTATGTGTAGCAATGTTGAGCTACAGGTTAGGAATGCGACATCGATGTTGTTGTTGTTTTTAGCATTCATTGATGGATTTAATATCAATTTTTTGAAGCTGATGATTTTTTAACATCATTGTTTTGTTTGATATTTTTATTTTTGAAGGAAGCAAAGAACACGGTCTGACTTCCTTGACGGAAATGTGACAAGATTGAATCCTCGCAAAAAAATAACGGCAAAACAAGTAAACAAAATATCAACAGAACACCAAAATATTAACTCGTGGAGCAAACCCTAAAACTCGCTCTGTGCTTGTCAGAGAGATTATTGAGGAGCACGAGTTACACAAGAGGAATGTAATTCTATATGGAGCACAGGAATCAAGAACAGATGATGTTGAAACTAAAAAAATTGAAGATCTAATTGTTGTTACGGAAATACCTAAAAAAACTGGATATACAAGCTGAGCAAAACATTGAATATGCTGTTAGATTGGGAAAACCAAACTTGGAGGATGAGGATTCTAGACTAAGACCTGTCAAAATAATTTTTAGAAAATCTGTTAGTGACAAAAATATTTTTGGATTATTTTTTCCAATATATAGAGTTACAGATTTATCTGGCTTCAAAGGGAGCAACCAAATTTCAGACCAATTTACCATGGTTGATTATGAAAATTTACCAACTTAATTATGAAAATGCCATTTCGTTATAACCTTGTATAGCAAATAGTTCTGTTATTGTGGTAAACTGTTGCGGACTAATATCTTGAAAAATATAAGTAAATACACATTTTAATTTGCAGGGTGCCCTCCAGAAAAGGAAAGAATGTGAGAAACTTACTAGTGATCACAAAATGGAGCCAACTCAGTTGTCTGATATTACTAGACGCACAGATGTTGTTTCATATGCTCTTCTAGCAGAGATAAATCATTTCCACAGTGAACGGGCAATTGATTTTCAGGAGGCCATGAAGAGCTACTTGACCGAACAAATCCAATTCTATCAGAAGGTAAGCCAAATTGATAATAATTTTAACCGTTAAACTTGAAATCAGTTTAAACATAGTATAAAGTTTATTTCTGTGGTTTTCTAAAAATCATAACTGATAATGTATAGTGTACAATTTGACTACTAAATACAACCCATTCAATTATGATTAGGACAATTGACTAGTAGTTGTATAAAAATTGAATTAAATCAATTTTAAAACTAATTTTCTTAAAACTTAGTACAGTAAAACCTGACCTTAGTACCCACCAAAGGTTCCAGCAAAAATTGTGTGCTACACTGCTTAATTAAGGTTTTGCAGTTACTAGAAGCATAAATAAAATCCAATTGTGCTCATTGCTATGTAATAAAGCTACTAATAAAACTTAATGTAATTTCAACCAGGAAGGGATGTAGAGGTTCTAAATCTGGAAGATAGCTTGTCGACACCATGTGATTCAATTAAGAAAACAAAATATTATTTTGAACCAGATTGGCAATGCTGATGAAAAGCCTGTATATTAGGACATGTCAATACATGTGACTGTTAATGAAACGGGGACAAAATCAGGGTTTTGTATTTCAAGATATGAAAACTTCCAAATTAGTGACAGGTCAAAGCTTCCACCCTATGTAATTCTCAATCAAAAATCTTTATAAAAGAATTGCCTACAGGTTTTATTATTAGATGCCAAAGCCATGGTTGCATGACAAATGAATTGATGATGCATTGGCTCGAGACTGTATGGAATAGACCCAGAAGTGTTTGCTAAAACGCAGTTAGCTTGTGCTTGATGCAATGAAAAACCACTTAACTGAAAATTTCAAGTCTGGAGTCAGAAAATCAAACTGTGATATTGTGATATTTCTTGAAGGTATGGCCTCCCAACTGCAGGTCTTTTAAAGACAATCTCAGGACGCAATACAGTGACTGGCTTTTGAGAGGAGAGCACCCTTTGGCTCCCACAGGAAAAATTAGGAAGCCAACGACAAGTCTTCGAAAATGGATCGAGGCAATTTGGGTATCAATTTCCCAAGAAAGTAGTATAAGGCATTTCAAGAAATGGCTTTAGTGATGCCCTTTCAGAGCATACATGCCGAATAAACTTTCTAAATATGGCAAAAAGATATTCTGGCATTGTGATGAATGAGTAGATTTGTATTGAATGGCAGCATGTACTGGGTTAGGCAAAGGGACAAGCCCTTGGCAAGAGATTTGACAGCAAAAATGGTGAAAGAACTGACCCAACCATTGAGGAACGGAGGATACAATATTAGTGTGAATGTTTTTTTCACAAACATACTTGCCGAGTTCCTAGTACAAAAACAACTTGCGTTGCTAAGAACTTGTTATACATCAAAATACAAAAGAAATTCCAAATGAACTGAAAACCAGTAACTGACAATTTATTTTCTAGTGTGTCTGCTCATGCCTATAATTTGACTTTATTGTTTTCCAAAGCAAAAGGAAATAAAGTTATTTATGTGCTTAGTCTAATGAATAGTAATCATAAATTTTGTGATCATGGAAATACGAAATCAGAAATGACCTTATTATATAATAAATCCAAGATTGGAGTAGATGTGATGGATGAGATGGTTGGTGACTATACATCAAGACATCAAACACAGCGATGACCAATGCGACTCTTGTACATTACGATAGTATTGTAGCAAGGGATGAAACATCCACAAGCAAATAGAAAATGTAGTGAATTTTTCAAAATTAATATAAAAAGAAACATATTGGTTGACTATTTGTATGTTTAATTTCTAGTTATTTATGGTGCCACAAAATGGACCGAAAGTCTGGGAGTGTCTCTTCAAAATCTTTAAGAAATGTTTAAGAACACCAAAAATGTTGTTTTGTGCAATAATTGCCAATAAAAATTTCACCATAATCAGTGATTGTTGTAAACTACACAAAGAAAGAAAATACTATTATCTTAAATTTTATTGTATTTTTTTCTGTCATACCTTGTAATTTTGAGAAGAGGCCACTAGAGTGTTTAAATGTAATATTCTTCTTCAGTGTTTCGACATATTAAAAGAATGTACCTGATTAATGTTTTTCAATTTTATCAATAATTAGAAAAACAATTGTACATAAAAATTATTTGATTTTTTTTTTTTTTTTTTTTTTTTTTTTTTCCATAAGAATAGAGGGTTGCTGTATAATCAGGCTTCGTCTTATATTTGAGTCAAGACTGTATTAATGATGTAGCACAAAGCACGATTTAAATTAAATTCATTTTTACAATATATTTGTTTAAATATTTTGCAGTTTTAATGGAAATTTCTGTGTATTGCAGATTGTTGGAGAACTGCAAACAGCGTTATCGAAGTACACATACTGATGTATACATTTTTGGAGCAAGGGGATTACTTAAATTTCCAAAGACATTGTATAAAATAATTATAATGCATGAACTGCTGACAGATTGCATGCGATGAACAAATATTTTATATTTATGCATACTATTTTAATTATAGAGTGCATAGAATGAAAGGACTTCCAAAAGAAATTGGTGAATTGTACAATGTTGAAGCATTTCGAGTAGTTGAAGAATTTGTCATTTTTTGTGCCTCTATATTTTATGTTATGTATTATACATTCTTGTATATGTTGTATAAAAAGAGAATTAAGCTTGTTATCAAAGCTAGTTCTAGTCGGCAACCATTATCAGATTGTCTATCTCATTTCCTATTTCTAAATCAGTTTTCCTAACTTGTGTCTCCTTGTTATTCCAATTCTTTTGTGTGAATTTTCATTATTTAAACAATACGTTACAAAGATGAGATTTTCTTCTTGGTACTCAGCACATTATGAATGAACAATTAGTTCTTCATATTACTAAAGTATTAAAGTGTATTTCTTTTCTAGTGATATATACGTATTGCTAATATTTCTGAGCGTCTTGTAGTTGTTGTTGTTTGTTTTTTTCTCCCAAGTATCATCCAATGAGTATTATATTACTCTTCCTATGTTAATTTACAGTTTGTGAGAACTTCTACTCTTAGCCTCTTAATATGTCATGCTTTCATTTTTAATTATTTGTTGTCACTTTATATTGTTCTCTTTATTATGAATGTATTAAAACTAGTGAATATATGTGATTTACTTGTAAGTAACCAGTAACTTATGTATACTTGTTGTTTCTATCTACTGAATATGTAATTGAATTCTGAAGTTATTTTTATACACATTGCCAATGAATGAAAATTATGTTTAGAATTGTGAATGTTAGATGTTTTAGATGTGAGTGAATTATGTTAAATGCAACTTTTGTATTCATATATGCTGTTGAGAATGTAGTTCCTTTCTAGTTATGAAAGGAATTGAATCCCGCTTTTGTTGATATTGTTTGGTAGCTATATTATTGGGTATGCCACATTAGATTATAAGGACTCCATATGTGAACAATATTTTCCAAATTCACGTGTACATCAAGAGTTTTGTTGGGGACCAATGATTATTCTCTGAAGATACAACTGACTACTGTATCCATGTTAATCAATCTAGACTAATTGAAAATGTGAAGTCTAGTGCAGTTAAAATACAAACGCACATCTATGTTTCCTATGACTTTTCTTTTAACATTTCTTTACCTTTCTGCGGTGCCTTAGTCACAATTTTGCCATTTTTATTGTTTATTTTGTTTGAAAGGTTTTTGCTTTTTGGAATTCATTCGAATTGCGTAACTTCTTTGAGTTTTAAAAATTCAATGCGGCATTTTCAGAGAGAAAACAATTAACAATGAAGAAGTCGTTAAGTTTTCTTTTATGTTTGAACATCCCACATATCGTGCAATAAGTGTAAATTAGCATAGTGAATAAAGATATATATTTTCATTAATTATAAAAAATAAATACAATCGCAAATTACATTCTACACCACCATATAATCAAGAAGTCTTCCGAATCCCTGATACCAATTGTGCATTAGACTGAATTTGAATCAAATCCAACTTACAAGCCTCCCTGTGCAATTATTACAGCCTGATAAGTAAGTGTTATCTAATGGGTTTTTAACATTTTAACTTCCTCACAAATTAAGGATTTTACAATATTAAGAAAGTTTTCAAGGATGAAAATTATAGATCTTTTAACAGAAGATTACAGAGTAATCCTTCAATTTCAGTGCCCATCTAGAAATATATATTAAAATTTACTGCATCTCAGACAGTAAATACTTTTATTTTTAAATGGATCAAAGAAGTTGATCATGTGTAGAGGTGGAATGTAATATTCAGGGTTTGGGTCGTTACTTTTGAAACATCCTGTAACTCCCCACCTCTCTGGCTAGCTGAAATAAAATGGGAGATGTTCCAATTTTGATCTGCCTATTCCTTTCTAACATGAAGTAACATGTAAAGAACATACTATTAAAACACTTGTTATAAACCCATTTAATTTAAAATCAAATAATAAACAAAAATGAACAGTGTGTGTGTCCTGCTTGCATTACATTTATTCGACAGATGAAACATAATAGTAACCAGTGAAATTGATTATATCATTTCAATGGTCTATAAGGGCTTTGTGACCCTTTTGTCATTGAAGCAACTTGAATGCTATCTGTTTTGGTACCATGTTCACTGGTTACTTTTAAGGCAAAAGCCGTAAGTTGCTGAAACCTTTATATATCAAAATAGGATTGTAAACAGAATTTTGCATCCTTCGAAAAATAGCGATTAGGTGATATTCTCCCCAAGCGCAAAGTGATTAGGGTTTTTGAAACTTTTTTTTTGTGTGTGGGTGTGCAGCATTTCATTATGAAATTTATTTATCCGAGCACGACATCTTGTCTCTTAATTAATATTCACCAAATTTAAGTGACTTTAATTCTTTAAAAGTGTAGAATTTATTTTTTAATAAAATCAGGGAAGACATGAATATGTTTAAATTTTAATCAGAATCTATTTGCAAAGAACAAAAATACACCTCTTTGCAACCTGACAGATTTGTTATATAATATAGAATACTTGTCTTCCTTTACACTTAAATTAATTTTAGAGTGCAGGGACCTGGAAAGTTTATATCATAAAATTTTCTTTGTAAGTAGGTGTTCAAAGTGACAGAGTGAATTGTTTGCATTTCTTTCACAATGAAGTTTTCTTTCCCATGCAAATGCAACGTGTAAGGAAGCAAATTGTTAATTTTTTCATGTTGATGTTACCAAATATTGTGATTGATTTTACTTCCAAGAAAATACATTATTTTGCTATCAAAATGTTTCTTCATTGGAATGCTTGTGGGAAACAGAAAAATCTTTTTAAGCAAAACAATGATTGTCTTTTTTGTTCCTCAAGGTACATCCAAATCCACAAAATACCAATCACAAAGAGATCTTCATATGTTAAGCATCAGAACAAAGAGAAAGTACACAGAAAAAGTTGAGAGCCGTAGCACCCTAAGAACTTGATTTTGCTAGCTTATATCTAATATCAGAAATTTACCTAGAAGAATAAATCAATGTGAAGTTTTGCATAGGTTCATGAGGAATAAGATGACTCCTCCTGGGATAAGGATGAAGATATGTAAGATTCGTTGGAGAGGGATTTTGATGTGAAAGTCATCTGTGTATGTAATTATTTTTTTTTTTTTATGTAACATTTTATCTACAGTAAATAGAACATTGAACATGTATTACATTTAAACATAGGGTTTTTAATGTCTCTCCTTACTTTCAAGAAATTATAGTACTAAAAATAATACAAGATCTTGTATACATGACCCAAAAATTCAGATGTGATTGTTAAAATCTGCAAAATTACCTAAATTTAACAATGGAAGTAGTATTTTTTTCGTTGATTTACGTTTCAACAAAGCCATATCCTGTAATAGCTATTAATACATAGTAATGTTATAATATGGGCGGATTTTAATGTCATTTTTGTTCTTTTCACTTTAGAACAATGCCTTTTAGTATAGACATACATTTTATGTTATGACCAATTTTTTTCATTTTTTGTCAATTTTAACTAATAAGTCATTTTTTCCCTTTTCCGTCATTTTTTAAACATTTTCGCCGATTTTATCGATTTAATATAAATTTAATGGTACTTCATTCAAATAATATTTACATGATGTAACAAATGTTCTCTACAGAATTTCTGAGTAGCCTAATTGGTTTCTTCGCTCAGTAGTTGTAATATCAGCTGTTGTTAGTATGTAATGTTAAGGTTCCTGTGACGCCTATTAGAGTCGTAGTGAGTTCGTCCGATTTTGCGATAACCAAATTTCATTTTATTTATTTGGTCGAAAAAGATAAAAACTATGTGGCATATGGGGGAAATGTACCATCTGTGCACGTTTTCGTAAGCTTCCTTTCCAAAATTTTAACTATAAATATTTTAAAATATTATTATATTATATACTTATATTTAAAGGTGCGAGATTAGCAACATTTGAAAAACTAGACATTTTCGCTCCCGAGCAAAAGAAACCCATTTGCATCGGTAAACGAACTGCAGATTTGATATTTTTGCGTTGCTTACAAAATGGTAACACCTTTGACTCTGCTACTACCACTACCTCTACAAGCAAAAGGAGAGCTCAACAAATCGTGCACATTCTGAAGCTACAAATATATCCAGAAGCAAAGCAAGGGGCCACCTCAGCATTTGTTCGGTGGATCAGAAAAACTGGACAAAACCTAATCGAGATTGGGTTCATTGACCCCGAAGCTGAAATACATTACTTGTTTCAGACAGTGGCGTAACGTGCAGGCCCTGGGAAAAGAAGGCCTATTTTTAGGGGATATTTTTATTATTTAAGGTACTAACACTACTTAAGTTTGCTCTACACTTTTATAAAGGCTATAGTTTTGTGGGCGGGTTCGCATTAATTCCGTTATGCTACTTGTTACTGGTAAGAATATTAAGTCTCTTTTTACTGTATACCAGAATTATAAACAACCTTTTCTGCTGCAAGAAATTTTTCATAAAAATATATTTTACGGCACAAATTATGACGTATTAGCGTTTTACGGCACGAATGATCATCACTAAAGACCGGATTCTCGAGTAATCTTTTGTTTGCTAACTTGAAGTTGGATGAAACCTTGGCAGAAATTTGAATCATGAAAAGGACGTTATTTCAGAACTTGTTTTATTTTGAAGGTTATTGCATATTTTGGTCTTTGCTGGTTTGTTTTTTCTTCTTTTTCGTCGATTTCGACTAAGCCATTTTTTCCTTTCCCCGTCATTTTTAGAGCATTTTCATCGTTATTAATATAATTTTAATAGTAATTGCTTCAAATAATATTTACGAGGTGCAAAAAGTGCTCTCCACAGAATTCCTGACTAGCCTATTCGATTTCAGAAATTGTAATGTCAGCAGTTATATGTAATATAAGATTCCTGTGACATCTCACAGCGCTATTTTTAACCGATTTCGCGATAACTAAAGACTTCGTGGTAAAGATCGAAGAAAACTAGAGGGTTACAAGCTGAGTTCGCTTGAACGAAAGTAAGAAGCCTAGCTTACATCAATAACATTTCATACATCTTCAGTTGTTCATCTGAACTGGTTTTGATCAATTTTTTCGACATTTTTCTTCGCTTTTATGGCATTTTTAAAGCATTTAAGAGCGTTTATTTGATCATTTTCGCGATGTTTTAGATGGTCAAAATACGCCCCCTACTGATGACATTGCAGCGATCATTCAGTCCAGTGGAAACTCAACCAAATTATGACAAGTGTTAGTGCACGGGTGGAAGACCATGGACTCGACCTTGCTGCAGAGCTCGCCTTCTTGACTAGAAAGCAATTCCAACGCTCATCCCTATGACTGTCGGCGCAGAGGTTACCGGGACAAAGCCTTTCGTGAAACACCTAGTTACCTCACATTAGACACCAAACTCGCCTTATACAAGACTGGCGGCATATAAAGCTTGGCAGGTGATTGGAACTTTGGCCACTGAGCAAGCTCATGGCAAACGTCAGAGCACCCGGTAAACGGCGACTACTTATCTCAGGAACTCACTCTATTACATTCAGATTAGGGACCACGTTCGGGCAGATGCACTCGCAGGCGAATATCTCAGACGGCGCGTGAGTGCGGTACAGAGGAAAGGAGCCCTGAGAGTTGTGTGCACCTGCAGAACCGTTTCCAAACCAGCAGTACTCGTGGTGGCTGGAGTCATACCTCTTCACCATCTTGCACAGGAAAGAAAACTCATCAACCGAAGACACGACTGGGAAAACTGGGAAGCCGCCGCCCCGTAGAGAAGCCAGGGCCCTCAATGGTCGCGGGCAGGACAGCTGAGAGAAAGAAAGCCGCGGAAGATGGACAGCCAGGCTCAACCCGCAGATGCCAACTTGGACGGCTGGACACAAGCACGGCGAAGTCTCGTCCCACGAGTCACAGCTCTCCACTGAACACGGACATTTCCGTAAATACCTTTACCGGATAAGGAAAAATAGCAGTAACTAGCTGTAACGCACAAGTAGACGTCACCGAGCACACTTCGTTTGGGAGAAATGAGGTTTACTTCTGACAGCACCATTGAGTCGATACTATCCAGTTAAGCAAATTAGAGCGAGCTAACCACTTATATCGAAAAGGTACAATATACAGGAAACCTCACGTCCACAAATACGGTACGGAGAAGACGAAGCATAATGTGACGGAAAAAGTCCTTTGAGGACAAAAGACACGATCCCATTCCGAAGTAACACGAAAGTGGTTCCAGATTGGATCTGCGTCTAAAGTAAGGTGTTCATTGTTTTAGTGGTCGACAGTCTTACACTATTCAGAAGTCTCTCCTAAATGTTTATTAGAAATGTTTTAGCTTTGAACTTATCATACGTGGATTTTTTTGTTGGCTCCCGGTCTATATGGAATAGCTTGTTTCTCATTTTCGATATGAATAAACCCGTGTTTTAAACTGAGTTTTGAGGAATCAATAAACAACTTTCATTTCCTAGGATAATGATATATATATATATATATATATGTGTGTGTGTGTGTGTGTGTGTGTGTTTGTTGGGTTTATATATAGTATATTGAGACGTCACGGTGTACAACACCCCCCTTAGAACGAATGCCGGAACGGCAGCGAGGAGGCAAATGGGGGTAGTGCAGTGGAGAAGTGCGGAGGGGTGGCATCAGGGGCGGGGCGGAGGGGGCAGTGGAGGAAGCAAGGGGGTCTGTCTAGCCCGTCTCGCGACCAGCCGACAGAAAGTTGATGAGTGGAGACCGGTAAAGAAAGTGATAAAGTGATCGTCGATTCGGATCATGAAGGCGCCTAGCGACATCCTTGCGCCCGTCCAGCCCTAGTGACGCTGCGTGCTAGCGTGTCTACTCGGGTGTCGCGTATATATACTACCACTATCCCCGCATAAAAAATCCTGCAGGTGGGGAGTCGTACACGATTGCTCGATACCAGCTTTATCTTTACGGGAGTGAGAAAGAAAATCCAAGTAGGATCTCTCGGGTGTGAGAAAGGAAAGCTAAGTACATATAAATCTTTGAAACAATGCTCATGTAATTTGGAATTAATTGCAAATACACAAACAAGAAAAACAAATAACACACTCAATTTGCATACATTCGCTTAACGAACGGCACTCCTAAGCAATGACCTCTGCTTTCAAATCAAACATTATTTCAAACTCAAATCTTTACCCAATTCGTACTGGGCACAGCAATACCTTACTATGAATTGCAAATTAATTTGCTCTACACTTCAAAATCATATTACTAAACAGAAACTTGAAAATTGTGCTCATAACTTTACACAAATTCGAAATGAAAGACATGAATTGCGGAATGTGAAACAGTACTCAAAATAAATGGTTATTCCATCAGCTGATCACAAATTTACACATAAGAGTTCAAGTAAATCTTTAAAACAAACTGTTCAAGAGAGGTATAAAGTTCGCAATGCCATTTACCTGTTTCCCTTTGAACATTACTGTTTTACAGTCCTATTTAAATTCACCATACAACGGTAATAACTTTCCTCACTAATGTCTGCCAATTTAAATCTCATTTATCTAGTCCGTTCAGGTGCGACCCCCTCTCAGTGAAGGAATCGACCTATCGCCTCACAACGTACTACGCTACAACATTCCGTTACAACATTCACTTCGTTACCTTGGTGGCTGTCGCGCGCCGCTTTTCGTGAAGCCGCGGATTTGACCTTCGTTGCACACCTGACCTTCGTTACCTCGTCGGGCAGCTCCGTGGGAAGCCTCGGAACAGCGCAATTGCCCCCACTTCTCCGGACGCCAAATTCATCAAATTACACTGGCACCAGTCTCCTTTCTTTCTTCCTTATTCTTCCGGAGGGAACGCACGTCCACACGCATCTTCTTCACTTTTCCTTCTTGTCTGTTCAATGCGTCGAATCGCCCGCGCGCGTAAAGTCCTAGCGTCGTAGTTAACTAATAGCGTGTGAAATATTTCTGGCGACCTTACGGCACTCGTTGGTTTCACTACCACTCTCACAATGTTACAATTCGTACTGCCGTTTCAACATGCAAATTCTAACACGCTACTCCTTCCACCTCGAAATACAGTTCAAAACACAGCACAAACACTCAGTTCTGCACACAATGGCGTATTTTACACCGTTCCTTGCGCTCTCAGTTAACGCTAATTACTACCCCACGCATTGAAGATGTCTCTTACGACCACTACTCAACCAAGTACGCACGTGCAAAGCAAACACTGCCGTCGGCGACTCG